CATGGACCAGTTAAAGGTCAACCAGGGGATCAGGCCTAGTCAGCATGGGTTTACGAATGGTAGATCCTATTTGACAAACCTGATTTCATTCTATGACAAGGTGACCTGCTTAGTGGATGAAGGTAAGGGTGTCAATGTGGTCTACCTGGACTTCAGTAAAGCCTTTGACGCTGTCCCCCATAACATTCTCGTGGAGAAGCTGGCTGCCCACGGTTTGGATGGGTGTACGCTCCACTGGGTTAAACACTGGCTGGATGGCTGGGCCCAAAGTGTTGTGGTCAATGGATTTAAATCCAGTTGGTGGCTGGTCACAAGCGGTGTCCCCCAGGGCTTGGTGCTGGGGCAGATTCTATTTAACGTCTTTATTAATGATCTTGATGAGGGGATTGAGTGTACCCTTAGTAAGTTTGCAGACAACACCAAGTTGGGAGGGAGTGCTGATCTGCCTGAGGGGAGAAAGGCACTACGGAGAGACCTGGACAGACTGGATTGATGGGCCAAGCTTAACCGTATGAGTTTCAATAGGGCCAAGTGTCGGGTCCTGCACTTTGGTCACAACAACCCTAGGCAACCCCAGGCTTGGGGAGAAGTGGCTGGAAAGTTGTCTGATGGAAAGGGACCTTGGTGTACTGATTAACAGTTGGCTGAATATGAGCCAGCAGTGTGCCCAGGTGGCCAAGAAGGCCAATGGCATCCTGGCTTGTATCAGGAATGGTGTGGTGAGCAGGACTAGAGACGTAATCCTGCCCTTGTACTTGGCATTGGTGAGGCCTCACCTCGAGTACTGTGTTTGGTTTTGGGCACCTCAGTACAGAAGGGACATGGAGGTGCTGGAGCAGGTCCAAAGAAGGGCAACAAGGCTTGTGAAGGGCTTGGAGAATATGCTTTATGAGGAGTGACTGAAGGAACTGGGGTTGTTTAGTCTGGGGAAAAAGAGGCTGAGGGGAGACCTTATTGCTCTCTTCCAATATCTGAAAGGTGCTTACAGCGAGAGTGGGACTGGTCTCTTCTCACTGGTGACAGGTGACAGGATGAGGGGAAATGGCCTCAACTTGTGGCAGGGTAAGTTTAGGCTGGATATCAGGAAAAACTTCTTTACATAAAAGGTTATTAAGCACTGGAATAGGCTTCCCAGGGAGGTGTTTGAGTCACCATCCCTGGATGTGTTTAAAACCCATTTGGATGTGGTGCTCAGGGACATGATTTAACAGAGGGTTGTTAGTTAGGGTAGTATGGTTAGGGTGTGGTTGGACTCGATGATCTTTAAGGTCTTTTCCAACCTGAGCAATTCTATGATTCTATGATTCTAGTAGACATCACAGCCCCCTCCAGTGGTCACAGAGATGGACCTGGTCCTACCTTCACATCTACCTTGATAGGCTGATACAAAGCTGACCCGATCTCCCTTGTGTTCCCTCCACATGCTCTTACAACAAAATCTCACCTAAACAAGCCTCATTCAACAGGTTGGCCCTGAAGCATCCCACTCCCTGCTGCCATCCCTCACTGTGCAGCACCCCCTTCCCAGCGCCATGAGGCACAGCAGTAAGAAAGAGTCTTATCCCAGGCACCGGAAAAGAGCTGCTCCTCTCTGGGAGCATTTTCCAAAGGTTGGGGCAGCTCCTGATTTTCAGTTCAGAGGTCTTATGCTCATTTTCAGCAGACTGTCCTGACATAGGTCATGGTTTCATGTAAGAAATGCAATAGCTCAGGAATGATATTCAGAATAGCACTCAAAGGGATATCCTCAAAGCTAGCAGCTCCCCAGTTATAAAATTCCCTCCCTACAGAACACAAGGGCAACGTTTGTGCAAAAATATGTTGAAAAACTGAGAAACAAAATCAACAGGTAACACAATTTGTCTCCCTGTCCTTTCGTACTCTCTCTAGTTATATATTGTTGACTCTAGCCCAATTCTGATCAGTGGTGAATGACTGAGCAGCTGTACCCTTTTCAAAGCGTGCACCTTTTGAGCTAATTGTTAAAATGCAATGAGCTTGTGAAAACAAAGGCACTGGAAATTATACAAATCAAGACAAGCTCAGTCAGAGCAAAAATAATTCAAAAAAAAGTCAAACTGGTTCACAAGATGAGTCAGAGAGCTTTAAAACTGGAGCCTCTGTATAAACATCATGCACTCCAGACCCTCTGGGTCTAATGCTGTCAATAATGCTTCTTTTTAATAACCTTAAATGGCAACACCTCCACTACAGACAGTCTTACTAAATGAATCATGTAGTTCTTTTTTAGCAGTCAGACAAATACTTCCAGGTATAGAAGACAGAAAGTATTTTAAAGTCAGTACACAACACAGCACCAGAAAGGACAACATTTGCCTTTTTTTTTTTTCTTTTTTTTTTAAAAAGGGTGAAATTTAGCCTGGCATTGGTTTTGATAATAGAATGAAACTGTGCCTGGGGCAATAAGACAAGACTAGGATAATCTGATTACACCATGCTGTTATGTAAATCAAGAGCAGGGATAGCCTGAGCATGTGCACTCTTCAGGCCACATATGTACTCTAGGTCCAGCTCATGTCCCATTGACCCTAAAACATTTCTGTACATCTTTGCGGCCCTCTGATATTTTACTACACTTTCTTCTTTCATATTCTCTGAAATAACACAAAGGCCACCCTGCAGCATCACAGTGCTTTTGCTGCACAAAACTGAGGGCTTGGCTTGCACTTCCAGCGGTATGTAAGGACGTAAGGACAAGAAGCTCTGAGATGGTAGCAGGGGGAATGAAGCAGAGTGGAGGTTGTTCACCAACAGCTGTGAATGACATGCATCCTTCCCAGCTGGGTAGAGCTGGCCTACACCACAGTCTCACCAGAAATTTACTAAGAATTAAGCAGTGTGGATGGCTGGAGGCCAGTGCTCCAGTCTGTACTTTGCTTTGCTTTGCTTGGTTAACAGATATAACCACAACTCTGTACCATTTGAAGATCAACATGCCAACTTCTTACACAGGCTTGCACTTTCTGCTCATAGCTTTCTTTCTATCAGAGTTCATGGGCAATGAATCTGCTTCTGAGCACATCAGAGCAGTGTCTCCAGGAGCTCTCAAAAGGCACCAGTCATGCACAGAGACCTCCTGGTGCTGGACCAACCTGGCCCAGCAGTGGTGTGGACACACGTCCTTGAAGGGCAGACTGGAATGGAAGGTGTCCATGTGTGAGGAAGGCACAGCTCCACATGGTGATTTTGTGTTTCTCCCAAAGTCAGAGTGACAAACAGGTAAATGAGAGCAACACACACAAATTTGTATGTCTGGGATCCAAGCACATGCACCAGCGCAAACGTGTGACTGGCACACATTGGTCTTAGCACAACTAGGGAACGTACAAAATGCACATTTATATGTGTATGTGTGAATTGTAGGCATCTCTCAGATGTAGGATACTGACATGCTGAAAGAGGAAAACTGCCAATGCTTTTGGAGCATGAGTCAAACCTTCAAGAGCTGGATTCTGTTGAAGTGGATGGAGTGACGATAGTCTGCCCATGTTAAAGGTCTGGCTCTTAAAATAAAATATTATTTCAAGGAGTCTGAGTGTGAGCTTATGTCCTCTTCTGAAAAAAAGCACCTCAGTGCAAAAAACCACAGCATGACTAGTTACCTGGTGCTGCCCACCAGGTGCAGGCCCAGTCACCTGCCACATTTCAGGGACTTGTGGCTGTCATCAGCATGCTGGGCACCATGGAGTCATCATGGAGGGATGATGGGAAGTACCTTCCCTGAAGGCTTTCATATACTACAGTGGAAAATTCTAGATGTAGTGGACAGCTTTGGATCTGTAACCTGAAAGCAACCCTGCTATGACAGGCATTTTACCTGAAGCAGGGCTCAGTGTGGAGGTCTCAGTCTTAACTGAGCCTATTCAGCCCTGGTGTGCCTCTTCCTCCTGCAGAGACTTCACCCCAGGCCCTGCTGAGGCTCCCATGCACAGATAGGTGCTGTGGCAGCATCCATACTCTACGGTCACCATTTCCTAAAGGTTTGCATGTGCAGAATGAGATGATGTGCTGTACGCAACAGTGAAATTGCTCTGAGGCAAACAAGTTCCAGGGTGTGGCTGAGGGAATTGGGATTGTTCAGTCTTGAGAAGAGGAGGCTCAGGGGAGACCATATTACTCTCTACAGCTGCCTGCAAGGAAGTTGAAGCAAGGTGGGATTTGTTCTCTTTTCTCAGACACCAAGTGATAGGACACAAAGAAATGGCCTCAAGTTGCACCAGAGGAGGTTTAGTTGGATATGAGGAAGAATTTCTTCACAGAGAAATTGGAGTTGGTGGAGTCCTCATTCCTGGAGGTTGTTCAGGAGGTGCGAGGACAAGGCATTAAGTGCCATGGATAGTGGCAGACTTGGTAGTGTTATGTGATAGGTGTCCTTGATGATCTTAAAGGACTTATTCTATGGTTCTGGTGTGCTTTCTAGGGTGAAAAATCTAGTCCTGCAGTAACACTGTCACATAATTATGTTTGGACTGTTAGAAAAGGCAGGCTCAGGGCTGTCTCTCAGCAAGTTGTGCCACGTGTGCACCGAGATGAGGGAGTATAAGTAACACAGAGGTTTGAATTGGCAGGGCTCTCCTGACTGGTGGGCCTTTCTGCTTCGAGCTCCACACATTGCTCTTCCTCCACTTCACGGAGGTCCTGCACTTACTTAATGAGTTTAATAAAGTTGCTCATTTTGAGAGAAAAAGAGGAGGCCTAAACTAAAGGTAACTAACCAGAAAGGAAGAAAAGATATTCCCGCTGGTTCCACTGGGGCTCGAACCCAGGACCTTCTGCGTGTAAAGCAGACGTGATAACCACTACACTATGGAACCGCTACGGAAACTGCCCGTTACGGCACTCCACCTATCGATGAAACACTCGCGCTCTTCTTTCTCCTCCCCCCCTCCCCCCGCCCTCTGTCCCGCCCACACGGAGGGAACAGACCATTGGAGGAGCGCGCGGAGGGGCGGTTCCCTCCCCTGGCGGTTTGGGCGGGAGGGGCAGTTTGCGGGGGGGCGCGCGAGCGTTAAGGGCGAGCGGCGTGCCTGAGCCCGTCAAGGAGTTTCTTATCAAAAGTGTGGGTTTTAGCTGGGTTGGTGCAGCTTGTGCTGCAGCACGCTAACAAAACGCAGAGCCTGCTTTCCTTAGGCAGTTCTTGTGCCCGTTTCTTTGCGTAGGTTCACAAAGAGGTGGCGAAATCTGAGTGCTGTAGTTGGCTGTCGTCTCCATAGGCTCTCAGTGTAGGCTGAGACTGCAAATTATGCCATTAGGCACTGCTTTCCAGAACATTCCGCTGAATTTTTCTGCTGATCTTTCTGTGGATTTTTGGTGGCTTTCTTTTTTTAATTTTTTACATTATTCTCATTTTTACAGAGAGTGCCTTGGTGATACCATAGTGTTCCTGTGTAGTGTTTCACCATTTCTTGGCTCACATTTTCCAGTCTTGTGTTCCTTTTGCCAGGGATGCTAAGGATGTCTTTTGTCCACTGTCTTTGCATCCCAGAAATGTCTACTGAGGGAAATGTCTTTTCCCTTTTACCCAGACTAACCCTGCAAGGCAATTTACCAACAGGCTTCAGTCATCGCACTGATTCTGATAGGAAAAAGCCAGATAACGTGACTCTGTATATTTATTTCTCCTTTATCTCTTCTTTTTATTCCTTCTGTTACTGACAGATCGCTCAGCTGGGGACTTGTCTCCTGGCCAGTGCTTTAAAATACATGGCTGGATCACATAAAAATACTTTTCTAAGCTTGATAGGGTAAGAGGAGGGGAACCACGGTGCAGAAGGAGCACATTCACTCCGACTATGATCATCTTCAGCCTTTTTGAAAAATGTTGGTTGCATCACTTTGTAGTGGGTGCTTCCGAGACATAAGCCTGAAGCAGATTTTGAATTATGCATGTGGAATGCCTGCATGAAGGCTGGTTCAGGAGGTTGGTGTTTCCAAAGCATTGGTGAACATAATCATGCTGTTACTTCAAGGGCTGCCTGAAAAGGGGTCTCCAAGGGGTCTCCTGATTTTTGCACTGGCAGCATAACTTTTTTTTGTTTTTTTTTTTTTTAATTCTACTAGGCTGCTCAAAAACATATTATGAGACTTTTGTTGCCTACTGTCTGTTGATGCTTGCTAAAATGCTTTTTACTTCCTTAGTGTGTGCTATGTAGCTGCTGAGCAACAAAGCTCAGCATGTGTGTTACTTGGTGGTGGGACTGGTATGTTCACTTTGCCTTGTGTGGAAAGGAGGATGGCTTAATTAGATCCAGCTGATGTCCTTGGGCTTAAATGGGAAAGGTTATTTGGAAAGCTACGTGTTATTATGATCCCCATAAGTAACTGGGGAGGTGGCTCATTTCAACACATCTGACTGTCAGGTTGTTGGGTCACTTCAGAGCACTGAGAAGGGATGAGCAGCTCACATGAATAACAAAAGAAACCATGCTGGGGAGACATTGTCCTATGGAAGCTAACAACTAAGGGTTTGATTCTGTTCCCACTGATCTTGGATGAAAGATTTCTGATGGATTTGTTGGCTATTGGCAAGCCTTATGGCCTCTCATTATGCAGAAATCTTGCTAAAAGCCAATATGGATGAATTTATCAGATGCAGTAAATATTTTATAAATGGCGTGTATCCCCAGAGTGCAGTGGAAAGAGATTATGATGTATTTTTACTTGCATGCTTTTTGGCAGAACAGTGTGATCATACATAAATGATTAGCTACTGTAACTCGGATAAGAGAAAGTGCATCCTGCCAGAAAAGCAAACATCAAAACTCTCCTGGGCCACGCAGAATTAGGGTGCCTCGTGTGTATTTTATTTGCTGTTTCATTCCACAGAAAAGGAGTAGCTTTGAATATGGAAGCTTGTGTCTGGGACTTCAGAAACTCAAAGAACTAGCTCAGTCAATCAAAAAAAAAAAGCATATTCGCATTTTTCATATTCACACAGTGCCTTCTGCTTGCTGGCTTCGCGCTTCAGGTATCTTTTACATGTTAAAAAATGTGCTCATTCTATCACAGTGAGGGAACTCCTTTGTCTGTCCCACTGTGTCCAAGTGCCTTCACAGTGGCAGTTGATGTCTTTAGAACTGTCACCAAACTGATAGCAAAAATTTCTTGAAAATACCATGCTGTAGTATTACTAAAGCTTTGGAGCAAGGGCATCAAGATCTTCATCTGATGGTCTCTGTTCTGTCCCATCTATTTCCTGGGGGCAGGAATGCCATCATGAAGAGAGGCTGCAGAGGAAGGAGTACTGTGATCTCCATCCACACAGTGCTTCCTCTCACCATATGCATCCTAACCCTGACCTTAACCCATGCGTTGTAACCTGTGGCCTTCTTTGGGCCCACAGCCCCATAGTGACCCCACAAAATGGCTGCTGTGCTCTGCTCCATCACTGCACAGAGAGACCAACAGAGCAGCTCCTCTCTGGCTTTCAGAAGAGGGTAGAAGGACACACTGGGGGTATGAGTGGTTAGTGGTGCAATGGAAGCTGAGGGCTGTACCTGAGAGTATATCGGTAATATTACAGTACTAAACTTATTCTGGTACCTAATATTAATGAGTTGTTTGGTAGTCTATGTGCTATTGTGTCAATGCTGAGCAGTAAGAAATGGCCTTGGGCTTGATGGCTATGTCCTTTGTGGCACCTGTAAGGTGACTGAGCACCCACAGACAGCAAGGCAAGGAGGTGGGTCAGATGTGCAGGCTCTGCAGTCAGAGGTCAGGGTTTGACTTCAGAGTATATGGCAGCATGGCTTCCTGACCGCACAAGTCAGCCACAGTGGCAGACTGACCCCTTTCCAGGAGTTACACTAGGGAGGGACAAGCTAAGCCATGAGCTTAGTTCTCTGAACTCATTACACTCTTATGGGGAGAACGTGTGTGCAGATAGCATCTGTATACCAGTGTATGCATACAGTGCCTCTTGGCAAATTAATCTGGCAGTACTTCTTTCCTTACGAGCTTTCGTTACCATACCAGTCACATCAGGGAACCAAATACCTGGGCAGTCTGTATGTGTGTTTATCCCCCATGTGCTAGGTAGGTCTGCTGAAATGCAAATCACTGCCTCATCCCAGCAGAAAGGCCTTTCCTCTGGAGAGAGACCATGTGACTTCAGATGTGCAGACGATAACTTCAGCCCATCCCTTTCTCTGCCTGAGATACAGGAGGCACGGTGACTAGACAAATCTCCAATAGCATGCAAGCAGCACAGCTGGAGGGCTGCAGCCAAGAACTTCCGCATCATGATGAATATGGCATTTACCCTTGACTGCTTCTGAGGAGTGAGGCTCAAGAAATTTCCTCTCGGGAGGCTGTATCAGTAGGTGGAGAGTAAGTGCTTTGTGAGCTCCAGAGCCCCAGGGAGGATTGGAGTGCTGGTTCTGCAGAGCTGCACCCCTCATTATGCAGTTCTAGTTCCAAAAAGGGACTGCTTCTGCTTCAAAAGGAAGCTTCTAAACGTAACTCTTGTGGAAAAAAAGCAGGTAATTTCTTCAAGTCAGATACATATCTTCTTTTTCTTAGCTCACTTTTAAAGAGCAACTTGCCTGTATCCTAGGTCTTCAAAGTGAATGAGAGAAGGATCAGTGCTTTTGCCCTGAGAAAAATCGGTGTGCTTCAAGCTGTCAAGTTTGACCTGGACTGGATCAGTTATCCAAACTTCTGAATACAGGTAAGATCAAATAGCTTTGCGACTCCTATATTTCTTGTACTTTTTGCTTTAGGAAAAAGACTTCATGTGGTGATGATAGTCTTTGTTCTGATGCTTAACTTAACCTTCATTAAAACCAATATAAATTTCATCTGAAGCATGAATTTCATTTGTAAATTGGCTCAAATTTCAATACATTTGTTCTCAAGTTTTACGTTTTAGTCAATATTCCCCTTCAAGTAAGGAGAAGGAATGTCATGGGATGTAATGAAGCTTCTGCTCATTATCTGCAGGACTGTGTATAATTCAGATTTCCCTTTTTCGCTATGGTAAGAAACTGCAGCTGTTGTTGATTTTTACACTCTTGTTGGGTCCTCTTACTAGAACTAATTTGGCCACTGGATTTTGAGTTTTCTGCTGGCTTCCTAATGGCTTCTCCTTTTGAGGCACTTAGAGTTTCTGAAAAATGATATGATAGCATCTTTATAATCCAGGGTTATCTACACCCTAGTTGTGTGCTTGTATTTTCCACCTTCCTTTATTACAACGCTCTCCCCACAATCTTTCTGTGCAAAAACTGAGGCTCCTTGCTTTATTTATTTTCTACACAAGAAGTGCAAATACTTTGTGTGAATGTATGCTTTATTGACTGCAGGTTGCATGAACTAACTTTTCACACATCATTTTCCTACAGATTCTTTTTGGTTTTACATGCAGTTCCTGAACTGAGTGCTTGAACAATCAGCATGTTCACACCTTTTCAGATCTTCTTTTCCTTACTTTTGCAGTATTTTTGGGTTCAGGAATATTATTCTACCTTAATAAGCTGGAATGTCTTCATCCTATTCTCTTTCACTATGACTTTGCTGGTTTCCCAGTGTTACTGTATCCATTCAGTATTGATTCCTGGCCCAACCATTGATGTCTATCAGCAGCCATTGCCAGAAGTTATTCCAGCAGTTCTTTATAGGGCTTAGCCTTGCATCTCTGAGCAAGCTAAAGACTTTTGTCTGCTGTATATTTGAAACAAATTTATTAAAACAGAAAGGCTTTCTTCTTTCTTTCTTTCCCTTAATAGAAATATCAGTTTGTCTCGTGGATGTAAAATAACACAGGCTTAAGCCTGTACTTCTTTGTCTATATTTGATCTTCTTGTGTCACCCCTTGGCAGACCAAATTCAGTGTTGATTTATAGAATTATTGCTCTGGTAGTCCACAGCCAAGTTCTGTTTCATTGCATTGGTTGTCTGCAGCAGCTTTATCCCGCTTTTTGCAGAGTGAGTCTTTTAGCTAATGAAATCTCTAAATCATCTCTAGATCCTTACCCTTGACAGCCCCAGCTCTGGCAATAGGACAGTTTGGAAGATCTGTCCCTCTACAGTTACCAAACTGGAAATTATGATTTAATGCACGAGGTTCTCTTTTCTAGGGTATCTTCCTCCTTCCTCCTTCATTTCCTCAGCACTACATAGAAGAGAATCCATCATAAACTAATGTTTCATGATTCTTAGTATTCTGAAGTCTCTGTTTCCAAAGGAAAACAGTTCTGAATGAAGCTTGTGAGTTGAAGATAGTTGAAATATTAGTAGCAAGAAAACATCAAAGTAAAGCCTCTGGCATAGGAAGTACCCATCCACCCATCCGATCTTTATGGAGAAAACTGTCCCTATCTCACTACGTCTCCAACCACACGTAAATTCTAACATTTTATGGGCATAGATGGTAACTGTATGTTAGGAAGTTTGGTTGAAAAAGAGAGGGAGGGGAGACAGAAGGCACACTGTTGGAGAAAGATACTTGAAACAACTTACAGAGGAAGTAGCATACCTATGGAAACTTCATCCAAACTAAAACAGAAGGGGCACTTTTTCAATCTTTGTTTATCAAAGATAAGAAACAAGTGAAGCTGAGAAGTTAAAGCTTAGCAGCTGTCATTCATATGGTTTCCATATCCAAAAGCTTGGCCTAGCTTACACTTGTCTACAATAGCATGGCTTATCTAGATTTAAAAGATGTGCGAGGCTTGAAAGAATGGCTCACTGCCCAAAGGACCTGCAGCCTGATGTCATTAAAGTTCAGCTATAAATCTTTACAAGATTTTCATTATTTTTGAGGCAGCCTTGCCTTTCTGTGACTGATGAACTGAAGGCTTAATTATTTGGGGCAGCACCTATTACATTCGGATCAAATGCTGCTGGTTCATCATCTCTGTAAATCAGGCTCTTGACAATGCTGGTTCTGAAACGCAAACTTCTGAATGCTTGCTGCAGTTCAGGGTGTGCAGAGCAGGATGTGTCACTTCTGCTTAGCTTAGTGCATGTCTGTTGGCATGGTTGGAGCAGCATTTTATTTTGCTTCACTGGATTGGTTATGTATTCGGAGCCTGTCTATCACAAAATTGTCTTTTTGCTGAACTGAAGAAAATGTAACAATTTCTTGGACTTGTATCTGAACTATTGCCTGATTTTTAGTGAATGTGACAGACTCTCTCTTAAAGGTAAATCAGTGGTACAATATCCAGGATGTTAGAACAGCACTATATCCCAAATTCTTATCCAACTACATTATATATAGGAAACCTTTTTCTATACTTTGAGAAAAGGCCGACTTTGCATTTCATCTGTGAACACTTGGGAATCTTTTGTAATGGCAAATGATTGTTTACCAGGAACTTTGCATTGCATTGCATTGCAAATGCAGCATTCATAGAAAGCACTTTAATGTTTCAGACTCTTGTTTTTTAGCCTTCTTACCTGTGGAAGAGCCTTGTGATAGTTGCTTGGTATTTTTCTATGAGTTTGGCAGGGAGCAGAGCTGGCTTGAACTGATGCACCTTGGGAAAAGGTGCAGCTCAATTAAGAGCTAAGAAGAGCACGTGCTTGCAGGAGATGCTGGCTGTTTTCACAGTGGGTTGTTCCCTTTGCCTTTGTCCAGAACAGCAGAAAGTGAATTCAGTGGGCCTGAATGGAAGTTGTGCCTGCTCGGGTCTCCAGTTGATGTGGTTGTACTGGAGCCTGGAGATATGGGTTGTGAGAAGCTATTGGGAAACAAGGTAGTAATTTGAATTTTTGCTGTGCCCACTGTAGAACACAGGCATTTGGGATTGATGATGGTGATTCCCCTGGATTAGCTCACTGATAGCCAGCTATGGCATTTTTAAGGGGCTTATTGATGTTGTGTAAGATTTCCTCCAAGCTTTGAGTATGAGTTTAAGGCTTCATTTGCTCCTGTTAGCATAAATTTCTATTCTAGCTTCTCTCTTTATTTCTTTGCTCAAAGTGGTGCTATAAATTGAAGAACTTAGAGGTAGGGTGAGGATGCAGTCATCCTCCAGGTGCCCCTGGCTTGGGGTAGCCCACTGTTTGCCATGGAATGTCTGGAGCCCTGAGAAGCACTGATAGTTCTATTTGGGGTTCTCGTTGCCTGGTTGCTGGGGACATGTTGCCCTGCCCATTCATGTAGGTGGTCATGCTGGAAGAAGGCTTAGACTGTGAGCTCTGTTTTGTACTTGGTCTTAGTCTTCAGATCTCCAGCTGGCTGGTTTGAGATGAACTAGTAAAGACTCATGATTTTCTTAAATGGGGCACGTGAGGAGACAGTATTCAGAATGATAAAAATTGTCTGTTAAGCTTTTAGCACTATCAGTGCTGTATTTGATGCTATTAAAACCATTGATTGGCTCAAACTTACTGTAACAAGACTTTTTTTGGATTTCAGTTTCACTTCAGAGGGAAAAAAAGCATAGTCCATCGTGAGGAAGAAAACCCCTCAAGTCCTTTACTGAAATAAATACTGACTTGGATGATGATAGACCTAGCTCAAGTGTGGGATACCCATGCGTTGTGGGATGCTGAAAATGTAATTATAAATGTAATATGATTGATTAATAAATACATACAAACTGGAAACAGTCTCACAACAATAAAGGCATTCTGACTATTGAAGCAGAAAACAGAGTAGTTATGCATTTGTATTTTCCTGTCTCTTATCCTCGTTTTGCTAATTAAGAAAAAGCAAAAGCAGTTAAGCATTCATTTTATGCTAATGGATTTCTTCTTTGTTTTAAAACCCATTTAAAAGAAGAATGTGTGTCAATAAAACAAAAAGAACAAATGCAGTAATTGGGATGTGTTAGAATTACTAGAGGGAAACATACCCCAGGAGAAAGAGGAGAGTGATCACATAAGAAATCTTCAGCTAAAACAAAATTCAGTCTCTCTCAGAGCATGCGTGATGTTTTGTTACCTAGAAATTAACCTATTTTGTATTTCAGGGGGATGTTAGTCTTTTGAACTTGTTGATTTGGAAGTATATGGCATTAATATTTGAACCCATCTGTGAGGGGATGAGTAAGTGCCAGGATATAAACCCAGAAAGCCATGCTACAAAATGCCCTGTACATTTTTTTTTTAATGAAACCAAATTTTTTTTGTTAGAATGTTTCTGTAAAAATGCAACAGAAAACGTGGTGCTTTATTTGAGTGAAATCTGTTTAGGAAACAGTTTGCTATGGCACCATTATATGGTCCTTGTGCAGTTGATGGTGGTTTTTATCATGTTGTGTATCAATTGGTGGTGGGCATTTCCATTCATCCAGTATCTGTAAGGGTCTGTGTGTAAACAAAGTGTTCATCAGCATTGGGACACAGAGGTGTAAGGTAGTAAATGGGATGGTAGGGCACCTTTTCAGTCAAGAAGGGTGTTAAGAGGGCTGGTTATTTTGGGGGGGAGTACAAAATAAGTGGTTTATTTGGTATGGTTTTTGCAGGATATGCTTCACAGTCATCATGGGTGGCTGTAGGTACTTTATATTCTGTATTGTCAAGCATGTGTATTTTCCTCTCCTCCTCTCAGTGGTGGTGTGAGGAGCACAGGAGCCTTCCTTGTGGCTGGAGGAAGAGCACGGCAGACGCATATAACGCCAACGGCTGAGAGAGACATGCTTCCTTCCAGCAGTGATTAAAACCAGAAATGGAATGCACTGTTAGCACCATGGGGTGCAGCTCTTCTGCAGATTACAGTAAACACAAATATAATGAAACAGGTGAGTGCTGCCATCATCTCCATGTCCAAGGTTGTTCTCTCCATAGCACTGCAAGAGGATTGCAAGATATTATTTCTCACCAGTCCTGTTGTCAAATGCTTGTTGAGATAAAATTTCCTCACAATTATTGTCTCTATTTAAAGGAGTGCATAACTTTCAGATGCCAGTTGAGGTCGGGGCAACTGCAGAGCACCTCTAGCATCTTACACATGAGGTTGGAAAAAATTCATACAGAAGTCATATTTCAGATGTGCTCACGTGTGCTCTCACTGGCAAAGTGTATAGGATAAAGGATTGAGGGGGCCTTCTGTGGCCTTCCACAACATGAGGTTCCTAAGATGACTGCCCCAGTTTCCCTGCTGCTGGGTGATCCTGATATTGAAATGGATGCAACGAAACAGAGCTACTGTAACTCTTTTACTCTACATGACTTTCCAAATTGATCTTCTGCCATACAAAGTGTGTGGCCTGAAATTCTCCCTGCAAGCCTTTGAGACTGTTGATGGAAAATCTTCACAGTACTTATATAAAGGTTCAATTAAAAACTATTGGCCTCCTGCTTTTCAACACAGCACACCCCAGTTTTGAGCACATGAGAGTTTTGCACAGAATCACGGAATCATAGAATGGCTTAGGTTGGAAGGGACCCCAAGGATTATCTAATTCCAACCCTCCCGCCACAGGCAGGGCCACCAACCCCCACATTTAATACTAGACCAGCTGCCCAGAGCCCCATTCACCTGGCCTTGAACACCTCCAGGGATGGGGCATCCACAGCCTCTCTGGGCAGCCTGTTCCAGCACCTCACCACTCTCTCTGTAAAGAACTTCCCCCTGACATCCAATCTAAACCTTTCTTCTTTGAACTTAAAACCATTCCCTCTTGTCCTGTCACTGTCTACCCTTGTCAAAAGTTGATTCCCTTCCTGTTTATAGTCCCCTATTAAATGCTGGAAGGCTGCAATGAGGTCACCCCATAGCCTTCTTTTCTCCAGGCTGAACAAGCCCAGCTCTCTCAGCCTGTCTTTGTGGGGGAGGTGCTCCAGCACCTGATCATCTTTGTGGCTCTCCTTTGAACCCTCTCCAGCAGCTCTCTGTCTTTCTTGTACTGGAGGCTCCATACCTGGACATGGTACTCCAGGGGGGGCCTCACAAGAGCAGAGTAGAGAGGGACAATCACCTCCCTGTCCCTGCTGGTCACTCCTCTTTTGATGTAGCCCAGGAAACCATTTGGTTTCTGAGCTGCAAGAGCACACTGCTGGCTCATGTTCAGGAGGCAAGAGGGCTCCAGGGTTGACTCAGAAACCCTTCTTCTGACCTTTTGTGTTTGAGGTTTGATGTTAAAACAACATTTGCATGTCTTCTGGGAGCTGTGGTAAATGGCGCTGTGCGTAGTCTTATGAGATTATTATGCTGAATATCCCTGGTTGAAAAGGAAGGTATGGGCTCCTTCGTCTCTGGTTTTGCATGCCATGTATGTATGTGTATCACTTTGTGTGCTTGCTTCATAATGTCTTGCCCTCTCCAGTTGCTGGATGGCAGTCTTTCTGCTCTTCAGCAGTAGTGAAGTTAGGCAGGACTGTCATTATATCTGCAGTCTGAATCCCTCTAATGCATTAATAATGTGACTTTAACAGGTACTTGCTGGTGGAGACACCTTCCACAAATGATATTGTATTTTACAGATACATTGCAGCCTAGTGTGAAAATCATGCTCTGGTTTAGTCCTGACAATAACAACATAGTAATAAGTACAATTAAAAATAATAATAATATATAAAAGAGAGGAAATATTTAGTTAGATTTGCAACATTAAGCACAGTTGTCAACATATTCCTGCCTTATGTGATACCTGTGGGATTGTGGCACGTTAAGTGCCTAGGGCCAGACCATTGAGCAGCCCAGATGAGCTTTATTGGGATTGTAATGGCTCTGATGCTAGAAATTAGTTTCTGTGCTGGTGGCTCTTCTCTGCCCCTTAGGAACTCTTCTAACCAGAAAAGCTGATGACAGCCTTGCTGTCAGGTCTGGTGAGGGGAAGGGATTTAGATCCTGGAGATTATGTACAGTAGGGAGTGTGCTCCTAGTCATGCAGGAGCTGTTCCTTTTTCATTTAGGAGGGGTGAGATTTCTGCAGTCCTTACTGATTTTGGCTTTGTCTGGACTTGAGAACTTTAGCACTTTAATTGTACTACATAGTTGTTAGTGGTAAAATAAGGAAACAACATGCTATTATGGCATCTAAAAGTCCTTTTATATATGAAAAAGCTTCTGTAATGTTATGCATATTATGAGAATTGTGCTTCTACAGAGGTCTTTCTTTTCTTAATCTGAGAGTTATATGAGTAAGAAATCATTCCCATGCAGAGGGTGCCACTCATCCTAGTCTCATAATCCCTGAGGTTTGTGATCAGCTGAAATAATTGATGACTGCAAACCAATGTTTCTCCAGTGCAGAGCTTTTCTTTGCAGGAAAAAGCACAAGCATCAAACTGTTGGTTGTCGTTTGTTGCTTTGGTTTTAGCATCAGCCGTTCATTTTGGCAGCTGCAGCCAAATACCAGCATAGTTAGGATGTTAGTATTGTTCACACTTCCCTCTTATTTTCTCTTCCACAAAGTTGTAGTGATGATTGTATCAAACTCCAGAGTTCTGGAGAACGTTTTATGTATTGTTTTGGGTTTTTTTCCTGATATTTTTTTTCTTCTCCTGATTATCTGTTTGTTTTCTGCTCAGAAGCAGGCAGCGGTTCTTGGAGAGTCAGGAGCTCACTTCACTGTATTCCACTGGGCCTTGTTGCTTCAGTAACGTTGCCCTGCAGCTGCTTTGACTCGATCTCCCAAGATCAGAAGCATACAGACGTTTTTGTGTGTTAGGCTGAGCTATTCAGAGCTGGGTAGCCAGGGAAACTCCCTGAAGTGAGGTGTTAGCTGAGGGCTGGAAGCAGAGGTTTGACACTTCTGGCTCTGTCTGCTTATTTACTGGCATCCTACTGAGTGTATGGGAAAAGAGGGAAGGACAAGAGGTAAGGAACAAGTCAAGAAAGAATTATGTGTGATCCATTGCTTTCTCTTTCCACAGCCATAAAAGCTACTGCGTTAATCCAGAGGTGGTACCGCTGTAAAAGAGCCCAGCTAGAGATCCGCCGCCGCTATTCTCTCACTATCTTTGAGTCAATCGAATATGCTGATGAGCAAGAGCAAACACAGGTGTGTAATCTTCAGTTCTTCCTGTACAGGCAGTTATGTTAAGCCCCTTACATTAAGTCATTGCACGGGTGATCTTGAAAGAATCAGCAAGGTGAGCTATCTGCAATAGAGAAATAGAGTTTTCAGTATCTCAGCATATCAGCCTGGGCTTTCTTGAGAGTCAGTAACAGGAATAAGGAACTTACAGGGCTTTGTGTTAAGTCTAGTATCAGTATAAAGTGAGTTAGGTGAATTATAGCTGTACAAGACTATAAAGGAAGCCTAGACAAATAGTCTGAATGATGGGCAAAATGAATGACACCCAAGATGTCAGCAGCATGATGTAGCTTTGGAATTTTGTTTGTAATCATATGCTGTCAACCTGCTCATTTAGAGGTAATGCTGTGGGACCATACAATAGAGTCCGAGCTCCCTCTAAATGGGAATTGGTGGTACCTGGCTAAGAGAATGTTAATGCTTGCTGAATCCCCTAAACTGATCAGTACTTGTTTGTTTTTTTCCTTATCCAGCTGTCCAACTTTTTCACATTCATGCTGGAGCACTGTGTTCATCGTGGTGAAGGTAAGGAGAAAAATCAAAGTACCACAGAGATTGTTTGAAAACTTTATATGGGAAAAGTTAATGTGAGGTAATGTCAGTGTGTGATTTTTAGAACTTGTGGTACATGCTGGGACTGAGATTTGCTTTCCCAAATATCACAATAAGAATTTGGTCCTGTTAAGTGTTGACTGCATCCTATTGAATTACGAGACAGTATGCTTTCTCCTTCATCTGGTCCAGCCACAGGCTGCTCAAGGCATATTTATAGCAGGCTGAAGCCACCACCAGAACTGTGTGTGGTTCAGTGTTCTAATGACAGCTGTTAGAAACTGCAGTTCTTCTCTCTTCAGTACTTCAGAGTGCCTCTATGTGTTCTGCAGAAAAAGAAATGACATTTGAGCCTTGCTGCAAAGCTAAGACTGATTATACGGTTGTCTTTCCTTTTTTTATTTTTATTTTTCCATTATCACCTCACTGTGCAAAAAGGTATTTAACTTCCTGGGGAGGAAATGGCAAACTTGAAGTGAGCAGCATTTGATTTTCTTTATCTACTACTTCTGGATGCTGATAGCACACCTCTGTTCACCTTTTTCACATGAGTGAGTCAGAAAGTTGTAGTGCTGGTCTTAGATTTGGTACAATTGTGTTCATCACTATTTTGTTATCATATTAAAATTTAAAACGAATTTTACAACTGGTTTATCTACGTTTTTAACTATGCTTATTGATAGAAGGAACCTATTGATAGATGGGACCTTAGTGCTCCAGTGACTTTCTACTTGGGCGTGGGTGACGTGGTCCTTGGTCTGGCAGGTATTAGCAGTCATGCAGGTGGTTAAAGCTGATGCGTGTGATAAAGCATGCTTTATTGGAAAACACTTATTATCCTGTCTGTCTTGTTTGTGCAGAAGTTTCATCTGTTAGGACTGAAGTTGCTCCAAATACTTTTATTTTTGTCTTAGTGTGGTTGTGGTGGTGATTTGTTGTTTTTTTTTCTTTCTCCCTTTCTAATAAATGCCCTTCATTAGAAATACTAAAACCCCAAAAGGTGCAGAAAGATTCTGTAAGATACATATTAATAGAGAGACAGCCTGGGGCCTCCTTTGTACTCGATTTTTTGGACATGTTAAATGAGAAATTGCAAGTTGAACTTTTGTTGTGTGGTTTGCATTTACGTTTGTCCAACTGCTGGCTGTATGCGTCTCTTACTTCAGGCTCTTTCTTGCCCGCACCTCTGAGTGACCTTTGCAGTTCCTGTGCCAGCCCCAGAGATTTAAGCAGAACTTGTGCCAGAAAGATTACTTAATGAACTGCTTGTGTTTCTGCTGTATCACTGTCTTAATATGAGAGCCCCTGTGAGTGTGTAAACCTAACAAACAGAGAGGCTTCAAATTAGCTTTGCTATTCCCAACTATTTTCTAAAACCCACCACACTTTAATCTCTCTCTTTTTTTTCTTAATCTGTGTTTGGTCACTTAAATTAAGGTGATGGCATGTTGTTCAAGAGCTTTCTCCAAGAATTTAGTATATAATATTCTTACCAAAGCACAGGTTGCCTGTTCTTCACAGTATGCAATGATGAGAAAGCTACCTGAGGATTTTGTGATACCTGTCATCTCTGTTCATCTTGCCACTTCTCTCTTTTTGATCGTCTTGTTCCAAATGTCTTTTATTCAGAGAAGGAAAGCAGTCACCATCTCAGTGACTGTGCTTTTGATGTGGTTGTTTATGTTGTATTCTGAAACTTTTATCATCCTCTCATCCTCTTTAAGATGTCAGGTCAATTAGAGTTGTGTTTGGGATGTTACATAGCTATGTGTGTATTGTCCTTGCTCTGATTGTGATTTAAAGCCATTTTCCAAGGTTTTACAGGGAGTATGTCCAGTGTCTGAGCACTCCTCAGGAGCCAGAGGTGCTTCCTGGGCTTTTGTGTTTGTGTAACAAGGAGCACGGCCACTGTTCAGCACAGAGCCCAGAGCCTAATGGGGGCTGCTAGCAGCCAGGGCTGAGCTCACTGTCCTCAGGCAAGGCCTCCAGTATCAGAGCATAGCAAAAGGTGTCCCTGTGCTCCCTTTGGTTGGTAAAGAGATGCAGAGGGTGCTTCATCTGATCTTAGGGTAGGTGTCTGAACTCAGTGTGCCTAAGGCTTTTGTCCCTGTCATTCAGTATGGACTGAAAGAGCCAGAACAGCTCTGGCTGGAAGATAACTAAATGAGATGAGCGTTGAGCCCTTCAGAATGAGCCCTGCATGGACTTGTGGCAAATGGGCTGCTTGCAGGCCAGAGCATCTCCAGGCTGCAGTGGGACATCCATTACAGGAAGAAGTACTGCTTACTCCCAGATCAGACATCCTGTGCAGGAAGAACCCTTAAAATCTAGCTGAAAGACTGGCTGAGGAGATGTAAGAGCACTTCCCAGGCTTGTGATCATGACTGATTTTTGATTTCTCATCCTGAAAATGAGGTACACTTTGCAGAGTAATGCCCTTTGGGGAAGGAGATCGGCTTTCCCAGCCTGGGCACCTGCCAGCAGGGAGCAGAGGCAGTGACGAAGGCAGGTCTGTTCTCAAAGGGGATGGGAAAGGTCGCCTGCTGTGGGCAGGAGGGATGGAGCAACATGAGCAGGTGTCTGCATGACTGGGGACACTGGGAGGGCTGCTGGCTCTGGAGGAGAAAGCTGAAGGGAGCCTTTGGCCAGAACTGGCAAGTGAATTAGGGTGGTCTGAGGAACAGCAAAAAGTGTCTCCAAGAGTCTCATGCAAGCAGCTGTGCAACAGCAGCCTCCAGAACACTGTCCTTTAGGGCTCAGTCTCTCTCTGTTAGAATAAGAGGTGACAAAGACTGTCTGCAAGGAGCAAACACTGAAATCTGTTTTCCCTGTTATGTATCCAGGGTATGCTAAGAAAATATTGGATTGAAGCAGTGAGCAATGCTCCTGCTTTCTCCATGTTCAGGAAAATCAGGAGAAGCTGTTTTTGTTTACTTTATGTCTTTCAGAGGTTTTATGGTAGCTGTCGTTGTCTCTCTGTTGTATCAGAAAGGAGTGCTTTGCAGTCTGCTGTGAAAGAACACTGCTTAGCTGCTGACTTTTAAAATATTCAGTGTGCTGCTGGTAATTAGCCTAGAATTTTTATGTAGAAGATAAAAGCAACTCTTTGAAACCCATATTAACAGCATAATCTGGAACTATAAACAGATGGTCACTGGATGGTCAGTGATGGCTTCTGAATCTCCTTGCTCTGTGGGAGGATAAAGTCTATGGCAGGTTGTATTCTCATTGCCTAACAGAACAGATTGCTCCACAACTCCAGTACAAAGTATTTGGCATCCTGACCACAGCTGCTGCCTGTTAGGACAGTGTTTTTGTCAGTTTTGTGTTTATTTCTATTTTTGTTTAGCATTGTGGATCAGTGTGGGGAGACCTGGAGCTGCTCTGCTGTACAGGGCAGGAGCTGGCTCCTCCAGCACTGCAATGAAGAGAGCATCCTCTACATTCTCCTTTTCTATTCATGTTGCTACAGCTTTATAGGACTGCTGGAGCATCTACGTTCCCATTTCTCTTCCCTCTCGTTGCAGTTGCTCGCACTTCTACCAGCTCCCATGTTTCTCCTGGTGCAGATTCATATGTAATTGAGTATGAAAAGATTGATGTTCCAGACTCCTATCGTGGACCACGACTCTCATTTCCCCTTAATATTGCACATGCTAAGGCTCTTCTTAATGCTCTCAAGAATCAACAGGTACACTGCAACTACTTTTTGTTTGTTTGCTTTTCTTGTCTTACATCTCAATTGACTTGGAGCTCCCCTGTCAGTTGAATCCAATGAAGGACTGAGCTGGTGCCCAGGGAAGTATTTCCACCTTCCTTTCCATCCCATTACTCTTTCCTGCAAACCCTCATTAATCACACAGGTACACGGTGAGCTGCTGTAGGAATCTAATCTGGCCAGGAGGTAACTTGCCAAATCCAAAGAACTTCTCAGTCCCTGGGTTTGAATCACTGTGTAGCTGCAGCACTGCCAGTGCTGGGAGAGGCAGGGGTTGGTGGCATTCTTGCTGAACAAAGCTGATAGTGAATGTGCAGTGGGAGCCCTCAGCAACTACCAGTCAGGGTGTCAGTAAGGATGTTGACAGGACTGCGAAAGGTGCCCTGAGATCCTTTTATTTTTATTTTTCCCCTCAATGTTTTAAGGACGAATTGAGTTGCAGGGATTAATCACCTGATTCCAATGTACAGGACCCTGGAGAGAGTGAATATAAAGCATGGCTAATGTGCTAGCATAGATTTCATGAGCTCTGCCCACCACTGCTTTACATGACACAGTTTTGTTTGAACTCGTGGTCATTTGTGCTTAACAATGTGCTGTATAAGGGATAACAGTCACTGTTTGCTTTCAATTTACTGAATAATATTTTATTTTTCCCCTAATTTTCAGTGAAGGCTGATCTTACAAGTAGCACAATGTAAAGCACATGAGAAATGTGCCCACTCAAGGCTTCACTTTGCTGTGGCTGGCGTTTAATAAGGAAATGATTACACATAATTGCCCTCTTTTGTGTATTTCGAGAAAATTCATCTTGACAAGTCAGTCTGTAGGCCATCCATCAGTGTTTGAATTAAATGTTGTAAAAACCACAGACTGATCAAGCTTTAGCAGAGACCAGAAGAGCACTGTTACAGGAGCCAGAAGCTACATATCCTGTGAAAAGAGTAATCTTTGGAGCTTGAATGTTTCATTCATATAATGTCTTCACAATGAGCTGGAAGATAACTCTAAACAAGTCAACCTTTGCTGGAGTTTCCTTCTCTTCATTGTTTATGTAATTTGCTGAAATATCATCTGTGCCCTTTGGATGAGGTTTTTGTAGGTTTATTTATTTATTTTTTGTCTGTTTTTCATTTTGTTTAGAATTAGATCCTTTTTTTTTTTTTGCTTAGGCTATGTTTAAGAGATGAACTTATGCCATGCTTCTGAGTGCTCCATTGCCCATTTTCTTACTATTTTTTGTACATGAGAAGAGCAGAAGCGGGATGCTAGAAATAAAATGGGAAAATATGAACAGCAAGTTTACCAAGGGCCCCTTTTCCATTCAGTGGGAAGCGAATGCAGAGCTACTCCTAATCCCTAGCACCAAACCAAGCGGCCTATATCCATGTTTAAAGAGGTCTGTAGTACCAATGATCCGATACAGCTTCCTTCACAATATGTGTGTAGTGCTAATGAAGCAGATTTCAAGCTTCTCCTAAAGTATCTTCCTCTTCTCCCTGTGATTTTTCTCATAGCTGCTTCATCCCCGCTATGTACTGCAGCTGTTACGTGAGACCAGGAGACTTCTCAAGGAGAAGCCAAATATCACCCATGTTTCAGTTTCCTACTTCAAGGAGATAACCATCTGTGGTAAGAATAGAACTGGGAATGTAGCTGCTTTGGGCTGAAGGGTGATATTCTAACTAGTTGGAGAGTGAGGTGGGAATTTCTCCTTTTTTTTTTTCTTTAACAAATGCATAAATGGAAACAAAAAAAAAAAACAAAAAAACCCAACACTATTAAAAAAAAGGTTCCTGCATCACACCAGATATATTTAGGGAAGTCCATGCCCTCCTCTTTTCTCTTGTTAAAAGTTTCTGAATGAGTCAGTATCAATTCAGCTAACACTGCAGTGCAGCTTAAATATTCCTGCAGTTCCATTTCTAAAATGCCACTCTGAGTACTGTGATTCTCACCACTGAGAAAAAGACTTTATCGTGAGAGTTTACTCAGCAATGATTTTAATGAAAGTGTAGTAGAAAAGGCAGATAAGGCCCTTTGTTGATAGTATGACCATCAAGAACAAATTGAAATGTATAATAAACCTCGCTACTAAAGGGACCGAAAGGATGCACTGATATTCATACAACCAAAAAATAGTCTCACAGAATGATGTGACATGTCACAAGGTGAAAAATTAAGAGCTCATTGCCATCTGTTTTGTTATGTTTTCATAGATTATGAATGAATGGATGTGATATCCTAGTGTGCCACAGGTAGCAGTAGCTGCAGAACAGAACAGGAGTGGTGACATCAGTTCTGACAGCTGTGTCTGTGCTGCATTGTAGGGGAGACAACCATGACACATGTAAAACAGCAATTGATGGTTTTAAGATGTGGTCATGCACCAACTTTGCTTACCTGGAAAGGGCTTGTTTAAATAATGTTTTCTTACAAACAATAATTTGTTAACCAAACCAACCAAAATCTCTCTCTGAATGCAGGAAACAGACTCACATTTGCTTGCTACACAGGGTGTGGCTTACTAATCAATAATAAAGCATCCCTCTGTTGTTTGCGTATCTCATTTGCGCTGTGAAAGTAGCATCTGAAGTGTTCCCTTTCCTGCCATTGAAGCTAACAGCTTTTGCAACCAGATAGCTCCTCTGCAGAATATGGAAGACCCATTTTTAAAGCTAATTGGTCCAAAATTGTCATTTTCCTTAAAGCGAGGTGCCTCCCCCAGTTTCCTTCTAATTTCAAACAAATAATGTCAATTAAATATGCTTCTGAAATGTTTGTGGCCACACCTTTTTAAAATCTATCATCACCCAAAGGAATCCATAGAGTACCTTCAGCAGGCTTGTCATCAACAGAAATTTGCATGGAAGACATTAAAAATGTCTCCTTCAGTCTTTTCTTAACTACCGTGGTTAAGAAAAGTGGAGGAAGCTCACTGCCATGCCATGGCTTGGGGCTGGTGAGTCACAAGTGTTGGGAGGGTGGCCCTGAGGGGAGTGATGTGGCAGGGATCTGCCATGCTGTGGTGAGGTGCCCCTGCTCTGAAATAAACCTCAGGATGAGACAGCTTGCCCTTCCTGTGCACATAGTACAGAGGCATGTAGGCTTTGACAGTCCCTCCAGAAGATCCTACCTCCAGTAACCAAAACCTGGGCCCGAACCAGACTGTTGCTCAACTGTGCTTTGTTTAGTAGACTGCTTAGTAAATTCAAGCCTGTTAGTATTTAGAAGTCTATTTCTGAAGTATTAATCTGTGTTACAGGCTGATAATGTGTTGGCCCATCTTCCAGTTCCCTGAATGACCTCTTACCTAGGTTGCAGATCTGATCTTTGGAGGAAGAAAGATTATGCAAGGAAATTGTCTGCTCTTTTAAATATTTAATTGCTAGATTTTACTAAGCAACTTCTTCATGTACCTTAAAATGAAGCTGATACAATGCTAATGTAGGGCAAGTTATTAAGGAAAATTCAAATTAATAACAAAAACACAAGGAAAACCTTCTTAGGACTAACTTACATAATTCTAGTCTTATAAAATTCCAGTTTTCCCCTATTCCGTGATTAAATATATGTATATGTTTTTATTTCCTGTAGGAGATTTACATGGGAATCTGGATGATCTTTTACTGGTATTCCACAAGGTAAGCAGGCAGTCTGTGGTGTAGCATTTTGGTTTACAGAATATGTATTAGCACCTAACAGTTTTTATCACTTAAAACTTTCCGTTTTAAGTGATAAAAACCATACGCACGCGTAGAAACCATGAAACATCTTGGATGGTGTCTTTGTCATAGCTTTTCCTTCTCTTTATCCTCCTGCTTACTGCAGGAGAGGAGATCCAGGAAATATGCCTGCTTCCGAATGTAGATCTAGAGTATGAACCTAGGGAGGGTTCCTTTCCATGTCTCGAATGTTTGGCTCGTATTTTCTATTCCTTGCTGACTAAGGTCTGAACTCTGGAGCTAACAGTTCCTGAATTGACACTACACTATGGATAATTCTGGTCCTCAAGACAGAAATGCAGAGGCTTTTTTGTACCCTTTCATTGATAAGGTGTTTTTCATTATTGTTTGTTTACAGAAAACAGACAACCAAAAAAGGATGCTATCTCTTTAAAAACATTTGTTATCTTGAGAATAACTACCTAGTCTGCACGAAATGGAAATACCTTGGGTAGCTTGTCCATATCCTTGAACTGCCACTCTTTTTTCAAGTTAAAAAGTATAGATTTGTTTTACTGATGTGAAAAAAAGTTAAGCTCCAGGCTTTCTTTTCCACAATTGTGTATTCAACTGAAGATGCAGTTTTCCTGTATTTAGTTTCCCCTTTATCTTTAGTTTGAATCACCACATTTCATTTGGCAGATCTGAGTTTTCTGAAGGAAGAGATTTGTGTCTGAACCTTGCATATTCCTCTGCACTGGATGGAGACAGACACAAACCAAACCAGACATTTAAATGATGTAATTTCCCTCTGCTTCCAAGGTCGTCACACTTCATATCTGATACTGGCTGGCTGGAAGCTTGGTGGTTTTGTCCAGCGACATACCTGAAGCCTGCTGAAACATAATCAGGCCTCTTCAGGCCTCTGCTTTTCTTATTAACCAATTACACATAGCCAGTCCTTGGCCGTAGTCTTTTAGCTGTTATTTTAATTAGGCAACCTTCCCTTTTGGAACTACATATTGAAACAGAATCAGAATATGATTCACATCAGTTTCATAAACGAGACCTGGGAGGTAAAGCAGAACTATCCTGCAGGTAACTGCTCTGTTATCTCTAAATTTGTTCAAGCACTTGGATTTTAAGGCCTGTATTGCTAAGCTAGATTGGTAAATGGCTGCTAATGATAGAAGTAGCCTGAAGATGTAGAGAATGTGAGCAAAAAACAGAAGTTAATCACTAATCCAGCAGGTACAGTAATGACACCCAGAAGCAAGTTGCTACTCTTAGAGGGCCTTGTTCACCTTTTTGGCATGTCAGAGGCTGCACCATAAGTAGTGCTGGGGCAGCAGCCATATTTGTGAAGTAGGACACTTTTTGCAATGCTGTCTGACCTTGTAAGAGTGGCCTCTGTTGTCACAATATGATTTTGTAGATGTTCTGTTGGTTATTCTTGTCCATGCCAATTGTGAAAACAGAAGTTTCCTTTTCCTGGCAAGTAAAAAATGAAGAATATTTCCAATACTCATGACTGGAAACGATGAAGCTACATGTAGTCTCTGCTATGCCTTTTGTAGGCTGGTGGCACCTATTGACATGTTGATAACTATCTTACAACACGTACCATCAATTCACAGTAGTAGCTTTTGGTAAGTTGCTGTTCACAATAAAACATTGCTCTGAATCTCCAGAAAAAAAAAATAAGATAAAAAATACGTGTATGTGCAGTCTCCCCAGGAGGGGGAGATTTCAGGATTAAAGCAATTGGAATAAAGGTTCTTCAATGTCCTGTATTAAGGTCTGGGCTCTAGTATTTCTTAGGAGTTCTGGAAGCAGAGACCGCAAACAATGTAAATATCTGAAATCTGATTTCTTACTGGATAAGGAAACATAAGGACTTCAGATTTGTATCAGAAGGTAATTTTTCATGTCATACATTCAAAATGAATGAGTCCCTTCTATTTGCAAGAGGATAACTTCCTGGCAGCAGTTGCATTAACAGAAAAGAATATTTTATTACAATAATAATGTTCTTACTTGTCCCTTTCAATTTAATTTAATAGGTATAGGAAAGGATTAGAGGCAGCATCATAAGAACAATTAGAGAGGTCATCTGTTCCCTAATAGCTCTGTATTATGCAAGATGTATTTTTTAATTCATTTGTTTATTGCAGGGTTTCTAGCGAGGTGATCTCATTTGAAATGATATTTCCTTTACTACAGTAGCATTGCAGTCCCTGAACATCTTGTTTTTGTTTCCTTCTGCAGAATGGTCTGCCTTCAGAAAACAACCCTTATGTCTTTAATGGCGATTTTGTTGACAGAGGAAAAAATTCTATGGAAATACTTATAATCCTATTTGTGTTTCTTCTTATCTACCCAAATGATTTTCACTTGAACAGAGGAAACCATGAAGACTTCATCTTAAATATGAAGTAGGTTTAAAGGGATGAGAGGGAATGGCATATCTAGTCCTTCACTGTGCCAACATCTGATCTCTAAACCAGAAGTAGTGTTTTACTGGGTATTCTGGTGGAGCTTTGCATCTTCAAGATGCTTAAGCAAAGAACATCCTCATTATGTATAGACACTTGAATAGGCATTTCTAATCATAGTCCATTAAATTCGATGGGTTCACTGAGACCTTCAGAGCACCAAACCTGGGGGAAGGGGAAGGGGATGGATGGAAGGACTGTATTTTAGTTATATGATGAAAATTAGGGTGTTGTGGAAACGCCCCCTGCAGCAAGGGTGCTTTGGTGCTAAAAGAATGAGGTATTAGACTCCTTGTCTCTCATGGAGGAAAAGAGATGGGATAGGTGATGCTGTCTTTGGAGGTTTTGTGGGAAATGTTATCCAACATCAGTCTGGTTCCTCGAAAATTCTCCTCATATCTCAAAGGTAAGCTGTTAAGCTACTTATTTTAAGTGGGAAATAAGGCTGATTAAAAGTTATTGGTCTGGACTTTTTTCTCAATCCCAAGAATTGGTTTAACTCAATTCTTGAGACAAAATAGAAGAAAGCACTTTTACTAAAGTGAGACAGAAAGGAGAAAAAGAGGGATGGAAAATTCTTGGCAATCACCGTAGTGCAAAAAATACTAAGTAGGGGCATATTAACAGCCAGTTCATGATGCTGTCCTGTTTTCAGATATGGCTTCACTAAAGAAGTTTTGAAGAAGTATAAGGTAAGATTCTTCCCATTTTCCCTGTATTTCCTTTTAGTATTGCAGATGTAAAATGAGAACCTGTCTGAAGAAGGAAACTTCCAACCAGTTTAGGTGTAGTACGGAATGACTTTAATGATGTAGTTACAATTATTTTGGATTTTCAGTGGAATAACTGACAAAATAATTTTTAACTGTTAACCTTTTGTGCTCAGCCATCCACGGGATGAAATAAATAACATCGGTGAGGCCACTCAGGAGCACAAGAAGGGGTAAAAGTGAAAGGAAAATGAAATGCTGCAGGGACAGTTGGGTGGCTCTTAGCATAAATTTCAGCTCCTGTTGGCGGGTGTTGCAGCGCAGTGTCTCCCCCGGGTAGAACTGTTCATACAGGTGTTTGCAGACACCTCAACAAAATGTAGAGCTAAAAAGCAACAGAATCTTCACCCGGCAGCATCTAATCTAAGAGTACATTTTGCAGGTCCATGGCATGACAATTCTGTATCATCTGCGAGAAATTTTCAGCTGGCTTCCGCTTGCCACTGTAGTTAATAACAAAGTGCTTATTGTACATGGAGGAATTTCAGACACCACTGATTTGGATTTGCTGAAGTTACTTGAGAGAAATAAGGTAAGTGAGCATTTCATGTGATGGTACTTTTATTTTCTTTACATAGCATAGCAGTAAGAATGCTAAAATCAAGTTGATTGCAGGAAGAAAGAAAATGGCTACTTCCTAAAGCAAGTAAGGAAAGAAGAGTCTTGTTTTTCTTCAGAATCAGTGTTTAGAAAGGGAGGATTTAGTAGGTGTTGGAAGCTAATTGGCTGCTGTAAAACGACATGGATCTTCTGACTTTAAAATAGTTGAACATACGTCAGATACCTCCATCCTGCAGTGATGACGCATGAGCCAGAAAGTATGCAAAGTTCTTAATTCACAGGCATTTCTAAACATTTCAGAAACCAATGTAGCTGCATCTTTTTAACACCGCCTGTTGTCCCGCGGCTGTGTGGTTGCCATCTGCTCTGTGTAGGAAGCTCTGTACCCTGCAGTGCTCCCATGGCAGCACATGTGGGAGAGCCCTTCCAGCAGGAGCCGGCCTCGAAAGCTGGCCTTGAGGAAGCAGGAACGACTGCTTTTCCTGAATTTAGAAGATGGAGTCATGTGGTTTTTATTCCAAAATGATGAGCAAATCACAGCTTTTCAAATTGTTGGAAAATAGTGTAGGTTTTGGTCTGGAAGATTTATACAACTAAATGAAGGTGAATGCTTGTAAGCTGGGTGCTTAGGCTCCTTATGATTAATTATGATAGACCAAGGAGATGAGTTGGAGGTCTGGGCTTTACCGTTGATCAGACACAGGTCTCCAGTGCAGGTCTCTATGGAAGCTCTCCCAAAGCCTCAGGAGATTTCCATTGCCTCTGGAGAAAGTTGTCCTCACAGATCTCTTCCACCAATCTCTATTACGCCTGGTTCACAGACATGCAGAGCATCCCAGATGGCACAAGATATAGGTATTTCAGCAATTCATAGATTCATAGATCCATGGAATATCCCCAGGTGGAAGGGACCCATAAGGATCATCATGTCCAACACCTGGCTCCACACAGTTGCACTTTGTTCCTAGTGCCTATGGAATCTCACCCTCACAATTTCTAGCACAGAATTAACAATTTTACTGGTCAGTCAAGTGTAGCTCAGTTTGTTTCTTAAAGGTGTGAAGAAGGGCAATGAAACAGCCTAGCACACTGAATTTGGGTGCCTAGCTATGGATGCAGATGTCTCAGCTTTGGGACAAGCTGTTGTCATACTTTCACCTTGGCTGGGCTGGTTGTATTGGGTGCACTGTCTCTGAAATGCAGAATTAACAGGTTGACAATGCTGCCAGGGGAGAGTATTGCTAATGAGACATGCACAGGTCACAGCTCAGGGCAGTATTGCTCTGGGCTGATCGATGTTTTTTAATTGGTACAGGTGGCAGCTGAGAGGTCTTCAAATCCTGGTCAGTGCACCAGGAAAATAATTTTTTGCATCGGTTGTTTTTGTTGTTAAATTGTTGGATGTTTTTGATGGTATTCTAAAAGGAGTTAGTATGAAGAAATATCAAAAGAGAAAAGATATTCTCCGGAGAACCCTGCATGAAAGGTCCTTGTCGGAACCACAGCACACAACTCCAAAAAAGCAGATGCCCATACGTCTCAATTGAACATGTTTAACAGTGAAAGGACTGATGTAATACTTCATGAACTTTATTCCTGATACTCCACTGATTTCAGCTGAATTAACCTAGCAGCATGCTACTGTATCAGAGCAGTGGTGGGTGCAGTTTCATCCTCAATATTATATGTGCATTTTCAGTTTCCTGCAAAGCTGGGCACTTTGGGATCTGCCCTGAGCACAAGTGCTGTCCTTGCTGTGCAGTGAGACCTCGTGACTGAGTGTGGCTTGGAATGAGTGATGTTCCATGATATAGGGATGTGCCAGCACATCCAAAAAGGTTGGTGCCTGACAGATGCAAAGCACGATATCTGCTGGTGCCAAACACCTGCAGCTTCCACCAAACCTGAAAGTTCAGAGCGTTATGAAGATTAAGGACTGGGTAGGGGAAAAGGGAATGGATCATCTTTATTTTCTGGTAACTCTTCCAATGTTCTGTGTTTATTTTTTAAGCTGAAAACATTGATGAAGCTACCGAAGTTAGAGACAGACAGAAAGAAGCAAGTGAAAATACAAGGCATCTCACTGGACTACGCTGAGCTTTTCCGATGGAGTTCACAGCCAGAGCTCACTGAGGAGGAACGGAAACAAGTAGGTGAAACCAAAGACAGCCTGATGCCGAGACCCAGTTACGACAGTGGCAGGGGCTGCGTTCAGAGGGCGCATCTGAGTCTGAGAGGTCTGTCTCTGAATAGGAAACCCATTGCTCTGGGGAGTATAGTAGCCAGCTAGTTATTATTTAGATGCTTTTTGTACACCTGGTAATAAAGGCTTGTGATTTTATGCCTCGAAAATACATTTTAGTCCGTGGTTTCGGTTCTCAGCTGTTAGGAGGAAGAAACTCTGTATGAGATGTGTTTGCATGCCCCCGTGTGGTAGGTCTGTTAGTACGTACATAGTTGTCAGTTAAAATAGGTCAGACTTGGCCATCAATTGTGATAGCATGCACCTTTCTTTGGCCATGGTTTTCGCAGCTGGATGCTGGTAGTTTCCAAAAAGCCCCATTCCAGAGAGCTACAGGCTGATTGCTCAGAGCAGGAAATTTTTGTCCTCTGGCTGTTAGTTTCCTCTTGAATATCAGAGGCAGTATGGATTGCTTGCCATGCTGTAATTTAATAAATCGTGTCAATTCGGAAAGCTTAATTTGCATAGTAATTTAGAAGCTCAAAATTGAGTTGTGTATGTTTATTTTTCTGAACTTCCCTTCAGACAGCTGCTGTACAGAGCAGACGGCTTCGTTTTGCCTCTAGAGAAGCAAATCTCTGAAAATGTGATTTCCCAAGATATGCATCTGACCTAGAAACTAACATAATGGGCAGGAACAACCCCCTTAATCTGACACTCTCCAGCAAATGGGAAATAGAATGTATCTCCATAAACCCTTTCCAGGGAGATTTGAACAGAAACATTTTGCCTAGTGTTTGCTACAGGCTGGAATTAATGCATTTAAACCTCGAGAATTCATCCTTGTGTCTCTGACTCTGCTAAAATGCCGACATGTAAAATCTTGTTTTGGAACACAAGCTAACCAAAGGCACTACAGCTGCTTTGAGCAGCTCTTACCATGTTTAGAACAGGTATGCCAAAGTTTAGTTTAGGTAAAACCACTGACATGGGTGATCTCTGAGTCTGTGCTGGGAAATAGGAAATGCTTCTCGCGTGTGTAGGCGGCTGTTGCTCTCTTTGCCCATGCACCATTCCTGATGCATCTACCAGTCTGAAACTGCATCTGTGAAAGGAGATATACATCTCTGAGAAGATATTGCATCTGAAAAGGTTAACACATACTCTAAATATGTTTTGTAATTTAAAAGAACAAAAGTTTCAGTCCAAAGAAATGCACAGCTGAAAGAAAGGAAGAAAAGCTTGTTCTTTCAGGTATTTTCTCTCAGTAGCCTGGGGTTTTTGGTATGGCCACTAGTTCAGGCACCTGTAGCCTGTCAGTCCTCACCGACTATCAGTCCTTCTTGAGTTTGCTCTTCCCAGGTCCTGGACATTCTCTGGAGTGATCCAAAAAAACAACATGGCTGTACTCTGAACAAACGTCGAGGAGGAGGTTGTTGCTTTGGCCCTGACACTACAGACCAGCTGCTTAAAAAGCATAATCTGAAGATGCTGATCAGGTCTCATGAATTTAAGCCAGACGGCTACGACCTCGCTCATGATGGGAAGGTAAGGGGCTGCCATGGAAAGCATGTGATTTGCACAGGCACATCCACAGTAGACTTGTCAGCGGAGTTAATGAAGAATATGAGTGACTTCTTCAAAATGGGTTTAGGGGAATTGTGCACTAAATTAATAGATGTTAGAACAGATGATGGAGTTCTGACAATCACAGAAGTCTTCTGGAACTTTAGGGAGTGGGGACAGGCTCATTACTCATCAACATCAACAGAATCCCTGGGGACAATTATGTGTATGTATACAGCACAGAGATGCTCCTACGCTCTAGAAGCTTTTTAACTTAATCATTTATGTTCTGGCCATGCTTGCTGATATGCTGTATTGAGAGGCCATGAAAAAATCCTTAAAACCAACTGTGTCTCAGATGTATCCACTACAACATGCTATCATGCTGCCCTCTGAGCTGTGGCAGGCCAAAAGCACTGGTGTGGAGTTCTGACTGGAAAAGTAGAAGCAGTTTGGTGAATAGCATCAGTATTGATTTCTGGCTTTACACACAGACACTTCATTTTGTAACCTGCAGGTTTTTCCAAGATCATTTTTAGCAATCAGTCTCAAGATGTATTATTCTAGCCAATCCACATTCTCTTTTTGCTATGAGCAGGTTATCACTATATTTTCTGCTTCTAACTATTATGAAGAGGGGAGCAACCGAGGAGCATACATCCGAATGAATCCTGATCTGGTTCCTCATTTTATACAGTACCAAGTCTGCGTGAGCACAGACAAGCGGAAAAACTGGGAGAGGTAAAGATACATTGTGTGTATGGTGAGCATGAGCACCTGCCACAGATCTGTAGTTTCATTGTAATTGGATAGAGTCACAGAATATCCCGAGTTGAAAGGCACCCACAAGGATCATGGAGTCCAACCCCTGGCTCCACACAGCACCACCCAGAACCAAACCCAATGTCTGAGAGCGCTGTCCAGATGCTCCTTGAACTCTGGCACTCAGGGCCGTGCCCACTGCCCTGTGCATCCCGTTCCATGCCCACCGCCCTGTGGTGCAGACCCTTTCCCTGACCCCCACCCTGATGCAGCCCTGTGCTATTCCTTCAGCACATTCACAGTAATGTTCACATCACAGTTCACATCAATCTCATAATCTATCTTCCCTTTTGTTTCTGTTTTGCTGTTTAAAAATCAACACTTAAAAATGCATTTTAAGTACCCCCAGGTTTTGTGAGAAATTTCCAAAGGCAATTAGAAGTGGTAAATGCTAAGAATGGACTACTGTCAGGGACTCTGAAGAGCCTGCACCTGTCTGTCAGGTCTGCTTTAAGGCTGCATTGTTAATCTGGAGAAATCCTGTTATGAGTGGAGTCCAAAAAGTTTATCATTGCAGCTTTGCCATGCCTAGCACTGTGGCCAGATTTACTGGAGCAAAGCAGCTTAGAATTACCTGCATAAACTTGATTATCTCTTAAGTTCAGATTATTCTTCTAAGGCTTTGTTTTATTTTTCCTCCATGTTCCTCCATGACCCTGACACCACCTGTTAAAGAACATAACAATTTGATAATGAATGTTGAAATACATAAATTGCTGGAGGATTAATATCATTTAATGATCTACTTTGATTTCTTTTTTGTTCTAGGGTGAAAACAATTGAACAGTCTGCTTTACAAACCTTACAAAAGAGGATTTTTATTCACAAGCAAAAACTCATGGACACATTTGCAAAGTATGACTGCAACAGCGCAGGTATCACCATCTCTCTGTCCACTCATCACCACAGAGAAAACAACTTTTGCACGTTCATGATGGCAGAAGGGTTCTGCCTGCTTTTGTGTAAGGCTGGAGGAAGGCAGAGCCTGGTCGGTCGTGTGTTCTCTCTGACCAGTGCAGATGTTTGTTAGTGGGCACTGAGCCCTAGAGAACAACCTAGGGAGCTTTAAGTAGGAGGAACAACAGAACTGAAACATGAGCAAATAAAGAAACAGTGTTTGCTGCCAGGCAAAGTTTGAGCTGGCAAATATGGCTCCAGAAGCTCACCAGGGGCATCTTCAGGTGTCAGCCAGGGAACTGGGGCCTCAGAGAAAACTAGTCTTCTAAGCCTGGGAGTTATTTCAGTGAAGCTGAGCAGCTAGTCCACTAGAAGGGAATCCTCATCCATCCGCTGAAGAAAGTTCAGCGATAGATACACGAACCTTTTATCTAGGAAGAGGTCATTGTTGACTTGTAACAAAAATACAAGGTCTAGCAAAAATACTTTTCCTCCTGACAGCTTCTCACCTGACTAGTTGGTCATTTGTGCCCATAGGGTGGTGGTACTGTTCCTCTGGCTGCTGAACAACTGAAGAAGATATTTCTGGCGTGTTGGCTTTTCAGTCATATATGTCTATCTTTATTGCTGCAACTCAGCTCACATCTGAAGTACTCTTCATAGCATAATTCTTCTCTAAATTAAAGCATACTGATAGTCATAATAGAATCACAAAATTGTTGCAGTGGGAGGGGACCTCTGGAAATGCCTCATCTGACCTCACTGTTTTTATTAACTTGTTTAGGAAAAAACATTTATGTTTTGTGAGTGTTGTAAAACAATGTCAGAAGGCATGCTGGGGTTGCCGGGTCTCATCTGAGCTGTGTCACACACTGCTTATAACCATGAACTGACCCCTCCCAGCAGGCAGGATTTCTGTCAGTGACTGGGCAGCAGTGATGGAGTCAGTTTTACAACTCAAACTGCCCTGGAGGACACTGAAGTCTCGATTAGTGAAGACAGATCCAGATGGAAACGTTGACTACATGTCATGTTTTTACTATATGGACACAGCTCGTCCTATGCATCAGGTAAGAAGGAAAACACATCCTTTCAAATCTTGGAGAAACAGCTTTCACTGCAGCTTGATGCACAAGGCAGTGGTTTGGCCAATCCAGTAGAGATCTGCATCTGAACTAGTTACCTAGCTTCCTTTTATAGTTACTGGAGAGAAATAGGCAGTTCTAAAGGCACAAATCATCATTCCCTGCTAAGGTAGAGTCTTAAAATAGGCTGGATGAATCACATGATAGAACTGCTTTGTACATTCCATTGACTCTCAAGGGCATTTTGATACGGTAGCTGAGGAGCTATGCGACAAATCCTACCATGAGCACTCTTTTGAGATGAGCTTTTTCAGATGTGCTCAAAGCCGCTTCTGGCATCTGTAAGATGAAGTCACAGTTGGAGATGGGCTTTTAGGTGTCTCACGGTAGACGAGGTCTCTTCTACAGAGTCCAGTTGTTACTGCATGACTGCACAGTGCTTTGGTACTTGGCTCTCGACACCATTTTTGCTACGCAGCAGGACCCATTCATATACGTCTAATGAAAGTTTCATGAGTGTGTGACGTACAGCGCTTTCCCCAGATTATCAATTTTTCCCCAAATAATTACGGAAGGCAGGAGATGTGAAGGGCTCCTTTACCACCTCCCACCCCACCATATGTGACAGGTTTTAGCTGATTTAGGGCAAGGCATAAAGCACCATTCCTTTGAACTCGTGCATAACGATTTTTTCCCAACATTTGGCAAGTTAAACTGGTAAAATAGATTTGGATAATAGTACATGTTCTGTCAGTTAAGCTAACCCAAACCCAAGGTCTAAATGGTTTCCTGTATATGATTTCAAAACCAGGTTCAGCCAACTTTGGTGGAAACGCTGTGCAAATACAGTAGAGATCTGCAGATGATCTTCAACATCATGGATGAAGATCAGTCAGGTAAGGCTCAGTAACTCACAGTACAGCCCGTGGAAGCCTATACTAGTTATTTTTCCCCACTGCTTCCTCCTTTTAAGGCTTCTATATAGAGAGGAACCAGAGGTGATGTCATTTTTCTGAATTAGTGAAGGTTAATTTAAGCAGTCATGCTGTACCCATATAAGGGACGGTGTCTAACTCAAGAAAAAGTATTCACACAGTTTCCAGTACTGATGTCACTTTGATGGCTTTCTCCCTTCTGCATTAGAACTGTACTTGAGTTGTGAAATAACAAAAAAATCCCACAGAAGCCCTGCTAAGCAGGTGACTTTTTGGAAGGAGAGGAGTGTGCACATGTACGTGGATGTAGGAAAGGGAAAAGTACTGGAAAAAGCAAACTGTCTTCTGTTTCCTGTAGGTCTAATTTCACCGGATGAGTTCCGCAAAACCTGGAAAATCTTCAGTTCTTACCTGGATATTCATTCACACGATGAAGCCATTGACAAGTTAGTCCAGAGCATAGACTACAACAAAGATGGCTACATTGACTTCAATGAATTTTTAGAGGCCTTTCATGTGGTTCATAAACTAGAGAACAAGGCAGCCTAGGGAAAGGGCAGAACTTCCTGGAGGTGTCACGGGAGCTCACCTTCCTGCTGTAGTCACAACAGCCTAGAAAAACAATTTCCAGACTGACAAACAATAAATGGTAAGCACTGCGGTCACTGTGTAAGCCTGTATTTAATCCCTTTGGGATGATGCATACCTGCTAGTGAGGAAACCAGAAGGGATGACCACTACCACGTACAGTATTTCTGTGTCACTGCCACATCAGTGTCTTATCCTTACCCTTGGTGTCATCTCCTCCACCACCTTAGGCTGTGAATGCTACCAAGCTGGCACCTACAGTACTATGGGAAGAGATGCTTTGGTAGGATAACCCAGCAGCCCTTAGAGAGAACTAAGAAATAGCACTGATGATCACAGGGAACATACCAGTCTCTCCTTGGGGACGTAACAGGAAAAATAGGCTTTCTGTGGACCATCCAGTCCAGGTGAGGAAAACAGGGAAGAACCATCTCATTAAAATAAGCAGTTCTGCATATTTAATCTTGCTCTTTGCATGATATAATTTCCTCTTTGAGGTTTACGGACCCAGCTTAAAGGAAAGGTGCCTATACGTGCCATAGATTTGTACTTACACTGGTTACTTTTGCTGCAGTTGTTAGGTTTGGGGGTTAACAAGCAATCTTAACTTGTCACCTTAATCAGGGCTTAAGCCAAAGCATGTTCACTTGACATACAATAGATCACAAAATAAAGCTTGAGCTTTCAAATAATGTGTAAGTTTGTGGTCTATTTCTTGCCTGTGTTTTGATAACCTACATGGAACAGAGTACAACAGTGTGGAGAGAGGAGAATTCAGGTGAAGGATGCTTGCCTTGAGAGCCGAGGGAAGGTCGCAATGCAGCACTTAGCATACACTGCTTTTAGGGCTGCAGAGCTGCAGCACAAGAGGAACTGAGTCATCCAACCAAAAGCAACACCCAGCAGCTGCTGCAGGTGCCTGGGGCACCCTCACCCCCAGCACAAGGGGAGAGTACAGGAGGGGAGATAACTGCAAAGCACGCCATGCCAGGAAGAAAAGCCACCAGAGTGCAAAACGGGGAGTCACGTACAGCCCAGCTACATATGCTTAGATCCAAACAGATCCAGATAAAGCCCTTCCATCACTCTCATCCCAAATTTTTCATGTCCCACTGTGTTCTCCAGGGGCTAATAACACAGCAGTGACATTGCTCTGCACAAGCCACAGCCCAGGCTTGCAGGTCCTGGCAGCTGTCACACAGCCAAGCACAAAGTACTTGTGGCAGCTGCACATGGCAGGCTGAAAAAGCAGGGCTCAGGGGACCACCTCAGCTGCTGGAAGCCCTCCTTTCTGAGACATGACGTGTCAGCCTACCTTCACCTTCCTTCTGTAAACGAGGTCTGGAATTTGGCCATGTCATCCTCCTCTCGGTCCCGTGGGAAGCCCGACAGCCAAACCCGTCACTGCCAATTAGTGGTAGAGCTGTGACAGCTTTCACCCGGGGAGCACAGCTTCACCCCCCGCAGCACTGCTTTTGTTTTGTAACAGCTTAATAGCACACAGGTGCATCCTCTGCCAGGTGTGGGAGTGTTTGGTGTGAAAGCTTGTTTGCTTAATTGGGTTTGCACTGAATGGGACTCCAAACTGACACCGCCCTGCCACCATAGCTCAGCAATGGCAGCAGGACCTGACCTGTAAGTAAATGAGATCTCCTTCTACTCATGCTGTGTTTCAGCATCCCACAGTTTACTAGCAGCTACCTGAATTCTTCAAAGAACCTTTTAAGTCCTCTGCCAGTGCCTAGCTTCCATGTGATAACTAATCACGACTATCAAACATGAATAGTAAGTTTGATTTAAAATTTCTGCTATGATCTAAGACACTCACTCCCATTAAAAAAAAAAAAAGGGGTGGGGAGGGAAGTTTAATGTTTTGCTGTAGGTTCCAAACCCTTGTTTTAACTTTCAGTCTAAACCACCCCTTTATCCTAACCTATCCACATCTAGCACAGACCTTGCCTCTCCCAGAGCATCAGGGTCCGCAGACTGCCAAGTTCTCCTGTTACTTCTGCATCACCTCCTCAGGCTTCCCACCCCCACCTGCCTTCTCTCTCCCAAGCAAGAGCACAGATGCAGCAGCAGCACCTCTGGTGTGGCTCTGCCGCCTGAAGCTCATCTTCCCTGCAACCAAGGTGCTGTTAACTGGCAGGCAGGACAGGGGCTTGCTGCCCTCCTTTCATCCTTTCATTCCACTCTCTCTCTGCTTACAGGTTAAAGTGGCCATGGAGCCATTTCGTGGAGTCGCAGCAGCTCAAAGCAGCCACCACAGCTGCTATCAGTGGACCTACTCATGGTGATAACAGGCACAATGCTGGGAGAGGACTAGAGGGAGACTTCCAGAGAGCCCATCCCTAACCACGAATGACAAGTGTGCCTTCAAAGAAAAAAATAATAAATATAATAAAGAAAAAAAAAAGGGGGGGTGGGGGAGGGAAACAAGATAGAGAGGAAAACATCAAAGCTTTCCATAAACTCTCCCTGCACTGGAAGGGAGGCAATTAGGCCACTCTCAGCTCCGAGGCTATTTGCAAGGGAAAGGATCAGGAGAGCTGGAAGGGTGCTTGAGTGGTGAGGTCTATCTTTCTCTGTTCAGAGAACAGGAATACAGCATAAAACTCCCTGTCACCTCGGAGCAGTTAGAGTCTTGAGACTGTGCCTGCGGAGGGAAGGAAGCAGCTTTGTTCAGATTAAAGAGAAAGGCAGCTCCCTGAGAGCTGCTATCATCTCAAATTAGTGGCTATTGTAAGACATTCGTCTTTACCGGCGCTAGCCCTGCACTAACGAGGTGCAAACGAGATGAGAATCAGGGTGAACATGTATTAAAAATACCACCTGGTTGTTTCCAGTTCTTCCAATTCCTTTCATTTACATTCCCCTGGAAGTTTCACACCACACATTAGTGATTCACAGCGATGCACATTTACAGATTGGCAGGAGAAAAACTAATGAATTCCATTATTTCCCTTATTTGGGAAACTCTGTGCCTGAGATTCAGCTCCCTCGTTTTATTATGCCTTTTGATCTCCACAGAGTAATCTGTTTTCCCCTTGGCAGAACTAATTCTTGCTAATTTAATACGAATTACATTTATGCAGTTTAGGCAGAATAAGCCTCATTATTTTCTCTCACACCCTCCCTTAAAATGAGGCCACATTCCACCCACCTGTCCCCCTCAGGCAGGTTGCAGGTAACATAACACTGTGACTGGTGTATCTGCTGACACACATGCAGCAAACAGGCAGCTCATGGCTGCAAAATAGGGAGAAGCTTCCTGGCCTCCTTTCCCTAGTGAGACATTGCTTACTGCATCACACAGCCTGTGCTAGGCAGGAAATCCTGCAAATAAATAATTATGGCTTTTGTCAGGTACGTCATGGTCCCATA